GCAGCACAGAAAAAGACACGCTTTCTTCATGAACTAAGAAAAGTTGAAGAGACTTACTAATGGACTTGCCCTGATTGAGACTTCACTGTTGCAAATCCCAACCAGTAGCAAGCTTTGTGAATAAGCACCTTCGCTGATGAGTTCTGTGACTGGGAAAAGTGAAGAAACAGGTTTTTCATTTTTCAAAAGGTCCCCAGTCACCAAGGTATTTGGACAATACCTCTTCCAAATTGATCTGATCTCTCTTCAGCAGTTCTACCTCTGCTTCTTTGACCAGACCAATCCATGCAAAATCTTCACTTCCAGGGATTCTTGATTCCTCCTCAGAGGGTTCAGGGCTGGCATCTTTCCAGCTGACTCCATGGAGGCCTATACTTTCTAACATTTAGCATTCTAAAGGAATGCTGCCAAAAAGAATGGGTTACCAGGTGGGGAATGAAGTTAGTGAACCAGAAAGAGGGATTTATCAGCCATTTTAAAAAGAGGGAGAAAAAGAAAGGAAAAGGAATCAACCAACAATCTGGAAAGATACCTAAGTCTACTGCTATCAATCTGAAATATGCTTGGGAGTGAACACACTTTAAAAAGAAAATCACCATGGTCAGATTTCATTGACAGAAAAGTTTGGCTTTTTTTGTGGGGGGTTAAGGTGGGGATGTGGGAGAAGTCTCCAGAAGACCTCTCTCCAAAAAGACAAGATGAGATTTCAATGATATTTTCCTCTCTTGGGTTTATTCTTTTTATATATAAAAGAATCCACCTGCCAGGGCAGAAGACACAGGTTTGATCGTTTGATCCCTGGATTGGGAAGATCCCCTGAAGAAGGAAATGTCAGCCAACTCCAGCATTCTTGCCTCGGAAATCCCATAGATGGAGGAGCCTGGCGGGCTACAGTCCATGGGGTCTCAAAAAGTCGGACATGGCTTAGCCTAAACACACTTATACATGCACACATACACATACACACACATGTCTATATATATATTCACTCTAAGTTGACTCAAAAAGGCCTCATGATTCTTGGAAAGTCATTGAATTTATTTCTATAATTAAGTTTATTTTTAAGCTAACCGTCTAAGTATATAATTTTTAAGGATCACACATACTAATGCATTTTCTATTTTGATAAAATTTAGTGAGAAAGTAGATAGTCTTAGTAGATCCTCTCCAAAGCTTTTGCATGAGCCTGTATACTAACTTTGTGTTCAACACAGATCAATAGAAGTAGTGTATTTTAGGGTACTCATTCCCTAGGGAGTCACTAATGGAATTATCTCTAGCCCTTAAAAAGTCACAGTGAGGCTAATGAATTTTTTTTAAGTGAAATCTGGATAAGGCACTAGGCTTACTAGCACATTTTATTTATGGCATTTATCATATGTGGCACATTTTACATGCAAGTTATACAAACCTCAGAATGTTTTTAAAAGCTATTTAATATCTAAGAAGACTTTGTGATTTCGGGTTAAATAGTTATACCAATAGAAAAGTATGTGTCCTCAACTTCAAAATCATTCTGGGATGACATTACAATTTAGAGCATTTTTTAATATCAGATACAGATGAAAAACCTAACAGTCTTTGGATTGGAAATAACTTGTGGGGGTTTTCATTAAAGTTGGGTGCAGTTTGCTGCATTTTGGTTAGTTGGATGTCTTCAGCAATTTTTCAAATGTTTTGGGTTTGGCAAAGTCCAAAATGTTTTTGCCAACACCCTCTTTTCCCCTTAGTTTTTAAACCCGTGTGAAATTCAAGGATAACTTAATCCATATGTGTCTGATTCATTTACACTTAACTCATCAAAATGTTATTTTGTAAGACCCATTTAATATCCAAGAAACCTTTTTGAGTCTTTTAAGATGTCTTTTGTCTCTGAACCAGTGAGTTGCATTTTTCCATATGAATGGAGCTTGGACCTTGTAAGATGGGAGATCAGGCAATTTTCAACTTAGACTTCAAATTTTTAGTAGATCAAAACTTGATATTCTGCTTATTGCTTGAGCACTGAATAACTTCATCTTAAAATACAGATCAGAGAAGGTGGAAAAAACTTTCATGTCATGTAATTTTGGGGAAAGACCACATTTGGAAATTTCACATAAAGAAATAAAAAAAAAAACTCCTAGTTTGATTTTTGTAAGTCTATAATTAAATGGCTTCATTTTAGGTACATTGGGTATATTTTCTAAGAGTGGCCTATGGATCATCTGTGCAGTGGGAGTAATTTAATTTTTGAGTGTTGAAGTGTTCTTACAGTCAGCTTATTAATTGTTAATTTTAATAATGACATATCATGTTCATAAGATACCCTAGGATCAGGGGAGCTGACAGTTGGCAAGAGTTGTATGTTAAAAGAGTTCCGAAAAATTGGGACCCATATGTTTTACAAATTCTGTGTGATTTGAAAGAATGTGGTAGAATCAGGAATCTGGCAAGATATAGCACTCTGGTTCACAAACATTGTTTGAGAACAACAGTTCAGAGAAACCCTAGTGAAAAAAGCAAAATCGCTATGACCTGTTGTAAGAAGATCTAGTGAAAACCTTCAGAGGCCTCTCTGCCTATTTGTTTAGCAGAACTGGGCAAAGAAAGGCCATCGCCATAACTGCTAGTGAACATCCAGTCCATGCCATGGTAACTAGTTGAAAATGTAACACTGGAGTGGCATTTCCAAGTTCAGCACTTCTATAAAGACCTGCGAGCACACGGAACGCTTTTTTAATGTTCTGCATTGTTGTGGATCCCCCATTGAACAACCTTTTGAGCGGACCCCGTTTTTACTAATGTAAACATTCTGACGAGTATCCAAAGAAATGACCTTTGAGTGAACCTCTAACCTTCCCTGTAATTATTTGTTTGAAGACAGTGTGGAGTTCTCCTGCTGAGAACTAAGGACCATGATGCCTTGCAACTCAGTGAGGAAGGGAGTGTTTGGGGGAACTGGTGAGAAAGACATAAAGAAGGGAACAACCTCCAGATGTAAATAATAAAAGAGTAAAAGGGTGAAATTAAAAAGGGAAAAAATAGCAGTTCGTTTTACCTAAAGAGTTGCTCTATAGGAAAAAACAAAACCGGGATTAGTAGCACATAAGAGGTGAAAACCTGCCATGTGTGTCCTCCATTAGAAACTTCAAGGAGGAGAGGAAAGGTTTCTCCCACTCTTCTGAGCATCTCAGTGGGTCTTAATCTGAGCTGATGAAAGGAGTTTTCTGGTGCAACTCTCAGGTCAGTCATCCTTGGTCCCAGTAAGAGCAGTGAGGGCAAGAGTAGACCACTAAGATTTGAGGGGTGCTTCTAAAAGGCTTTGTAATCTATCTGATCAGCTAATCCTCAGCAACACTTAAAAGTGCCTGGAGGGAGTAAATATAATTTCCACTCTCTTCTTTTTGTTTTTACCTCACAAAACCTGTCACTTACTTCCCCAAACCTGAGGGGGTGTGACATTTTTGACAACCTGAGCTACACATTCTTAAGTAATAAAGAAGTGCATTGTTTGCCAAACAAACGCCTTATGCAAAAGACTCCTTTGGTTTTCTCCTGGCTGTTTTTCTTCAGTCTAATTGTATTCCCACTAGAGTGCTCACAGGAGGCCTAAACGGGTGTGGGCTGCTGTCCTCCGCAAAAGGGACTTCAACACCATAAGAGCACAGAGCTGCCAACACACACTAGAATTTTCTTGGCTAATTTCAAAGAAGGAGTTTTCAGTTCCTGACTGTGACCCCATGTGAACTCATTAATTATGAAGTCCTCCTGCACTTAAGATTTGAAACTGGGAATACTGGGAATGAGCAAACTCCAGGAGATAGTGAAGGACAGGGGAGCTTGGTGTGCTGCGGTCCATGGGATTGCAAAGTAAGACACGACTTGGTGGCTGAACAACAATACTGGGAAAGATCATCCATGGTTCTGTTTTGAAGGAACAGCTAGCTATAGGCCAGGCAACCGCCTCCCTCCATGTCCCCCCCTGAAAACGCACAGCCAGTGAATCTTGTGCATCAGCTCAAGTGTGTGGGGAATGCATGTCATTAAATGCACACGGACAGGGGTAACTCACAAATGGTAGAAAATTGGTTTGTTTTTATTAAATTTGGAGAAATAAAGGAGATTTCTTATCATCTTACTCTGTTTGTACATGAATATTTGATGGGCATTATTAAACATTAAAGTAACATGAAGTAGGCACTTATTTTTGGATTTCCAACAAAATTAGATCCAGGCTTCTAGACGAAATAACTGCTTCTCCTTTACATTCCTGTGATTCAGCCACCACCTGATTTGAAAATGTTTCTTAGACTCTAATATCAACCATGTGTACCTGAGGCTCTGTCTTTCTAGTGGGTTGAAAGGTGGCTGGGTTTATGGTTGGCAGTTACCTTTATCCCTGCCCTGGGTGTCCCAGCTTAGACTGGAAAGGCCGCCCCCAGCTGGCACTGACCTCTAAATGACCCCTAACTTTACAGGCTTAAACTGCAGGAGTTGCCGAAGAGCAGAAGTATTTCTGGCCAG